TTCGTATGATTACTCTAGTCTGATCGTAAAAGAAAATTTCCTTATATTGGCGACCCACTACACATTCTCTTTTTCAAAAAGCGTATTCTTTTGTAGGCGCCTCCCTTTTAGCGGATTCCATTTAGATCCTCTGTTGGTTTTGTTGCTTTTCTCAATATTTCGTCTCCCTGCCCTGTTTCTATTTCTTTTTTTCCGTTGCCTACTTCCTTTCAAATTAGAGACCGCCTCGCTATTCCTCCTCCCCGCGTAACCCATGACAATCCTCCACACTACAACTTTCCTTTCTTTAGTTGTTATTTTAATAAATAATCATTTATTTATCATTGAGAGTTTATTTAATGGAAATTATTAATAAATGAAACTTTAATAAAAATAAAACAATTTTATGAGCGTTTATGTGCATTTTTCGGAAGTCTCAGTATGTATTTTTCTTGGTTCATGTATCCTAGGGTTATGTAATTTAGATTTTTATCTTATTTTTATAGTCCTACATTCTGTTTTGTTTTTTTTTTTTACAATTTCTTACACCTTCTCTGTTCATTGCTTCTCTCACCTTGACTCCCCGACCTTTCAAATCAGACACCATCTCACTATTTCTCCTCTTCCTCAAATAGTCTAAACCTCTCTTTACCTGGGTGACCAAGCCATTGGCTGCTGCCCTACCCCACACCCACTCCACCCGTACCCTCTTCCCCACCCTCCCTTCCCCTCCTCTCCCCCTCTCGCCCTTCCGCAGACGCGCTCCGTGCGCCGAGGCAAATCTCGGCGGCGCGCGCGGCCGCGAAGCAATCTCCGGGGGCGGATAAGATACAGCCCGCAAAACACTTCACGCCGCGCCGCGCCGCGCCGCGCCGGCTATCTCCCGATAAGATACGGCTGCGCAGCTAGAGAGCTCCGTTTAGGGCAGGGGGATGAGCGTCGGGCCCGCCTCGGAAGTTGGTGCGCGGGGGGGGGGAGGCAACTAACGAGAAACATCCGCGGCATGAGCAACTCAGGTTTGCTTCAACATTTTACTACGTAGGTTTCAATGTTCAAAACATCAATACGGGAAAATATTTATCTGAAGAACAGATTGGTTATGTTGAAACTTTTCAATGGTTTTTAACGCGGAGCAGAAGTGTAATGAAAAAGATGTACAAAATGGCCCTTGCACGAACGAGCGGAGCTAACAAATGCGATTAAGGCCTTTTTCTCTCCTATTTGAAAGTCCGAAAGGAAAGTTGATTTGTTTTTAATTGAGTAATGTTCTGTAGGCATACAAATCCAGATAAAATTTAATTCAATTTAAAATTCAAAACGTTAGACGAGTTGCTACAGCTATACAAATAATTGTTCTACTTGACAAGAAGCCCCTCCTCGAAGTTGTTCGGATTATTGAATGGATGTAGATAGTTGGTTGGTTACTCTTCATAAACGTATGCATACAGCGGTACACTAAAGGCGTATAAAAGACTCCTCCGAATGTTTCATTGCATGTTCTAATGAGCAGCATAGTATTATTTCCAAGGGATGCGTAAAATGATGATACCACAAACTGCATTCTTCTCATCCATCAGCCATCTCATTTAACGCTCTCTTTAGCGAAAGAAGCGCAAGAGATTCGAATTTTCAAGTTACCAACCTTTTATATAAAATAGGACTGATACAGAAGAGCACTACAACCAATGGAAAATGATCAACAAAAAAATGTTTTAGCAATAACGGGAATCAAATCTTTCATATCAATTTTTTTTAGTTATTTACACACGTGGTCATTACATAGTTCATTGTAACTTTACATTTCACACATATAAAAGCTTAATAGCTAACTTAACTTAAAATATATGACTATTCTATTGGTTTAGGTTATTCATTGGGCTTGTCTAGTTGAAATCTACGAGTAGTTCGGAGAATTTCTCGAGGAAAATGTGAAAAGGATATTTGTTTTGTATTCTGGTTGTACGTGAAGTATATTTGCCTACTCTGTGTTCTGATAGTGAAGGGATTTAGGATATGTTTGAGTGATGTGATGGTTTACACTTTCTAAGTAAAATACTTTGCGTAATTATTTAGTGATGACATACCATGGAGCTTTTGAGGAATTGGTTTTCTTCTCTTTGCACTTTACCGGCTTTTGACAGACAACAGGTGCAAATTTAAGATAAAAAAAAATTGGAGCTATTTTTAACAAAAATAAATTAAAACTTCAAAAGTTGCCATATTTCAGACAAAGTTACGCGAAAAAATATCTTTCGTCATCATTTTAGTTTTAAGAAGACGCCAAAAAAATTATAAATTTTCCGAAAAACAGGAATTTTTACAACAAATGAGATCTGCATCATCTTAAGGGTTGTTTAGTCTACGGTTTAGTCTAACGGTTTTAGCGCTAGATTTGGCCACAGACGGGCAGACAAACTGACGGACGGACATATGCAAGGACCGACGGACGGACCGACGGACGGACCGACGGACGGACCGACGAACGGACCGACGGACGGACCGACGAACGGACCGACGAACGGACCGACGAACGGACCGACGAACGGACCGACGAACGGACCGACAGACGGACCGACAGACGGACCGACAGACGGACCGACAGACGGACCGACAGACGGACCGACAGACGGACCGACAGACGGACCGACGGACGGACCGACAGACGTTTGGGAGTCAATCGATTCTCAGTATCAAGAACCCATAAAACATTGATTCTCACTACACAACGTGTTTGTGTTAGTATTTTAGGAACAATATACATATCCACTTTCTCGTTAGTAGGGCCCTGCAATAAGAGCTTTCTAAATGATTACAATACTTTCTTTTCGTACGAAGTAAGGGCGATAAAGTAGAGGGAACGATGTAAAATTCAAGTGACGCACAACTTGAAACAAGAGAGATATAAGGAAACGTACAAATTCCTGAAGGCCAAATTGTATTAAAAATGAGGAGTAATGAAAAAATGAGAGAAACAGAGGGAAATGAGAAAAGGAGTGAGAAAGGCGTAGCGATATTGCAATACTTCAAAGTACGAGTATATCGTTGCTCAAAGAAGAATTCCTAATGGAAGGGGAAAGTGAAAGGTCTAAACAAAAATGGAGAATTACGGGAAGCACGGGAGCTGTCATTTTGAAAATTTACTGTCGCGTAAAGAGTAAAGTTATATTAAGGAAACATTGCAAGGAAAGACGAAGGCAGCGATAAATACTTGTGAAAAATAAGGTATTCGAATTGAATCATTCCCGGATAGATAAGCAGAACCGAAGAAAGGAAATAAAAAATCGAAAAAGACGAAATTAAAAGAGAGATTAGAACACCCATTGATTTAAATACTCCGGTCGCACTTATTGTAAACGGGAAAGCAGTATGGACGAAAAATAAAAAACGCAAAAGCATGAATCGAAATTGGTCGGGTAGACGCTGGAGATGTAGTTATTAAAGTTACGTAATTAGTAATACTAAACAAACAAGGGTGAATGGGATGCAATAAAGAGGCAAAAATAAATGGCGAAGGTGGTACCGGGGAAGAGACTTCAGAAGTCTAATCGCCGGAATTTCCCGAAACGTGAAAGCAGAATGGGAGAAAAGACTGATGCACGATTCGAAGGGAGAGACGGAACCTGCCGCACCGGCGTCGTTAAAGCCTGCACGTCGTCTGCTAGAGAGATCTATGCCCCTGGAGACCGTTCGGCGACCTGGGACACACCTGTAACGGGCCTGGAACGCCCACGCCGAGGGAAGAGGTAACGAGAGAAGGGCTGGAAGATCCTAAAGGAGATAAAAACGGCAATTCGGGGGGCAGGTGCGGCAAGATTGCTTTCTGTGAGTAATGTTTGGCCCGTGCCTCGACAATTTTATGAATCAGAAAGAGGGTTATTAAGATGATAGAAATCGTGGAAATGTTGAACACTTTAACTACGCGTTTTACGCACATTTTTAGGTTTCTCTCTTATTTCCATTTATTATAAGTTTTACTGAGCAATAAACTAATTATTTAATACAAAGTTAAGAATTGAAAAACATCTATTACAATTATCCTTGTAAAACATTCTAAAGCAAACAGGTTATTACTTGCATACGTATATACTGGTTAATTTTTATTATTCAAATCAAAAGTAGCGTCTTCCCTGCCAGATAAAATAATCTTATAAGAGAGTAATGAGAAACAAGGAGTCAACTGAAACTAATGACTTCCTTAAGTCATTAGCTCAACGAGATACTCAAACACGTAGATTCGACTAGTGACGCATAATGATACAGCGAACTGCTTTTGTTTTCATTGGCTTCATCGTCTACACGCTGAAATACTTTCATTTTCTATATTGGTTGAAATATTCTGAAAAACATCCTTCACCAAGCTGATCTATTTTAAATAAAAAAGGGCACGACCCATTACCACTTCTCATGCAAACTTTGCAAAATATAATAAGTAAACAGGTAAAGTAATACTAAGTAAACAAGTCAGAATGGGATACAACAGTTGGCAAAAATTGAAGTTGAGTATGTAGTATTAGTAAAAGAAATATAGAGCTCTAATCGCATTTTTTCTCGCCGAGAAAGGGTAATGAATCAAAAGACTGATGGGCAAATCGACAAAAGCCTTACCACGGGTGCTGAGTCAGCGCTTCTCCGGTAGAGTTGCGACATGAATGACGATGATTTAAAAGAAATCGATGTTTTAAACATCTATCTATCTATCTGTCTATCTATCTATCTATCTATCTATCTATCTATCTATCTATCTATCTACCTATCTATCTATCTATCTACTTATCTATCTATCTATCTATCTATCTATCTACCTATCTATCTATCTATTCAAAGCTTATTAATTTTTTTAACATCAATGTTTCGAGTCCTAAATTTTCACTTTTTCAATGTTATCTGCGTGATGAAAAATTCCCATTAATATTACAATTATTTAAAACAAAAAATAAAAAAGGTGGCAGCCCCCAAGGTCCCGCTGGCGGTCCGTTGGAGCCGCTCACGCGTTGCGTTGCGCGGCGTGGTGGTGTGCGCAGGAGCAGGCCAAGGCGCTGGCGCCGGCGAGGCTGGTGGCGCGCCAGTGCGACGTGTCGCAGGAGGCCGACGTCAAGGCGTCGTTCGCGTGGGTGCGCGCGGCGCTGGGCGGCGTCGACGTGCTCGTCAACAACGCCGGCGTCATCAACGAGTCGCGCCTCTCGGGTAAGCATTCTCGCATGTAATGGCGTTATGCAGATAAACAAGGAGCGTAAGAAAGGCAATGCAGAGCGTTGATTTGTCCGTTAAATAAATAAAAATAATAATAAAAAATAATAATAAATAATAATAATAATAATAATAATAATAATAATAAATAAAAATAATAGTAGTAGTAGTTGCGAAGTTCTTTACGGCTGACGCTGCTTCTCGCATCCCAGTCGCCACGTCCTTTGATCTTCCCAATCTCCTCTTGAAGATCTGGTTCCTTGATCGCCTTTTCAATCTCGTTTTCCCATGTTTTTCTTCGTCTGCCACCTTTTTTGTTTCTTTGAGGTAGCCATTTAAAAATTTTCTTAGGCCATCGACTTTCCGTTATCCTCTGGATGTGACCATCTCAATTTTTTAGCATCAATTACATCCATTGTATTATTATGAATACCCATTTGATTTTTTATGTGAACATTTAGTACTTTATCCAGTAACGTAAGGCCACAACAGCGTCTCTAAAAGATCATTTCCATTGATTTTACCACCAATTTTTACATTGTACAAGATGTTTTACGTCTTCCGCACATCCACCTTCCTTTGATATACACACACCAAAGTACATATAAGTTGTTGTATTTTTTATATACACCTGCTCACAATTATTAAGTTTGTTCCTTGAGACCCGCAACAACATACTTAGTTTTTGATAGATTCGTAATTGAATCCCAAGATGTAGGTTATATGCTAAGAAAACTAAATGAAAAATATACATCTTGTTCCTCATCAATAAAAAAATATAAATAAAAAATAAATTAATAAAAATAATAAAGAATAATGTTTTTATCGATGAGAACATATTGGCGGTATTTTCATCCTCTTTTAATTTCTCAAAACTAATAATTAATCCTGAATGGAGGTACTTCAGAATGAATTTTAAAAACTTGTAGAGCATGTCAGAGTAAGAAAGGAGCTCTTTTGCCCATGAACGTGTGAAAGGAAATTTTAAAAAATGTACCCTTGATTGATAGCAACTCATCTGCACTGGTTTAAGCAAATAATCCCATATTACACTAGTGTAACAGGTACAAGAAATTTGCCGCTAGGCTGTTCTTGTCATGAGAGTTCAAAACTGCTTTTAACCCTCGTTTCTTTAATTTCGTGTTTGGATTTGAATATTCATAACTAGATATACCACAGGAAGTTCCTTGTACTGCAGAGCTTATTTTACAAAATAAGCTTTAATTATAATTTTTATTATTATTACTATTATTATTATTATTATTATTATTATTATTATTTTTATTATTATTTTTATTATTATTTTTATTATTATTATTATTTTTATTATTATTATTATTATTATTGTTATTATTATTATTGTTATTATTATTATTATTAGTATTATTGTTGTTATTATTATTATTATTATTATTATGAAATGGATATCGTGACACCTTATAAAAACTGCTATATTTTAACTTTCTTCCTCCATTTTCTTTAACAAAACAATAAGAATCATTTCACGCAAAGAGAATTGGCAATCTGAGTCTGCCAATCTGGCAATCAAACTTTAATAGGGCAAACCTTGACCTTCCCCTTGAACAGGAATTGAAGTCCAATAAGTTAGCGAAGTCGTCATTGACTTCATCGTCGGAGACGACGTGAATTAGCATTATGAACAACTACATGCAAAGTCGACAAATGTTTCTTTACATTCTCCCGTAATCCAAATGAAACAAATCTATTTTGACAATTGCAAGTTAACTCGAATATTTTCTACTATGACGACTCAAAAAAGATACCTTGATATTATCTCTTTATGGTTGCAGACTTTTCTCTCAACGACGCAAATGGTCCGTAATCCAAATTGGTAAAAACAACCCTCGTTTATATACTATCTAAAAGGACAGAGAATGAAGCTCGGATACAGGAATAAAGACTTGGAAATTATGGTTTATGACTTGAAATGGGAGAAACATTAATTATATTACTAAAAAGCAAAAAATATCTAAATCTCGCAGGAAAAACCTTTAAATATCTAGATGGCGAATCATTTGAACTTCTCTACCAAAGCTTCATCCTTCCAATTATTGACTATGGCAGCACCATTTGAAACCCTTATTTGAACGAGGACATCTTAACGTTAGATGACATACAGCAGAAATCCAACAAAATAATACTATGTCAGAGAAATCTCCCATACAATGCTCGTATTACAGAACTGAATCTGTCTCCTCTTAGTGAGAAACGTCTTCGTGCAGACTTTCTCGAAACCTTCCAAGATTGTGAGAGGGTTTTACCGATATAACGAATTAGAAAATATGTTTACCCGATCTCAAAACATCCACTTGAGAGGTCACAGATTTAAACTAACCAAAGCCATCTTTAAACATCCCCAAAAAACCAAACGTACTATCAAATCGCATTGTAAGAGGTCTCGAATCGTCTAAGGGAAGAAATGGTTACCTCGCCAAGAGTTCTATTAAAGTAGCTTACGATAGGATGTCAAGATATGAACTCCTTGACATAACATAATTTATATCTTATAAGCGTTTTTTATCTTTCTATAATTTGTATTTTTTTCTTTCTATTTCTACTTTATTTTAAACTCTGTACTTAAGTAGCCAACAATATATTCTATTTTTCTATATATTAACTATCATATAAAATATAATTTGGTTGATTCGGGCGATTATTAGTATTTAATGCTGTCTGTAAATAAATAACAAATAAATAATAGACAAGTAATAAATAAATAATAAAAAATAATTATTATAAATTAACTTCCATTAAATTTTATGTTAATGAAATGGACCATCTCTTTTCCAAACACTTGAATTCAATAGTCCGCCTCTTGAGTAGCCCGTATATTACTATTCGATAAGTATAACAGAGATAATAGTAAACTAATTCTACTGGTGAGTAGGAGTATGTTCTTTCTTGTTTTCGTTCGTTCGTACCTCATGTTTGCACACTTGGTATTTTTTGCATCTAGTCTAGATCATGTGTTCAGTATTTACAATTTCACGTTTTTCGGTTATTATCTTCTTCTTCTTCCTCTAACTTTCCAGCATTAGGCAAGCTGCCTTTTACGGGCTTCACCAACTCTTCTTTCACCTTCCCACATTCTATATACAGTTTTGCTTGTAGTATTTTTCTATAATTCCAGTATTCTTTATGTTTCTTCAATAACCAGACATTCTCTACACCTTTACATAGCACACTACATATCAGAATTCTCATAGTATTTGGCATTGTATTTTTCTCTCAATGTCGTTCTCTCCGCGATAAAACAACCAGAATGCTTTAAATCTCCGTTCCTACGTTCCTTTCCGTTTCCATCCCCCTGCCGGATCTGAGTCCACCGTCCTCAGGCAGCGGTGGCGGTGGCGCGCGCCCCGACCTGCCTTGCATTCCGCGCGTGGCCCGCGCGCCCACGCGCCCGCCGCGTCCCGGAGGCACCCGGAAGCCCGGAGCGCCCGGAGAAGGAGCGACGCGCTTCGGACGCGGCCGGAGGAATCGGGTCCAGCGGCACGGAGCGGCGGGCTCTCGTGGATGCCGCCCCGCCCCCGCCCGCCCACGCCCCGCCCCGCCCGCCCCGCCGGCACGCCCGACCGCCACGCCCGCCCGCCCGCCGCACCGACCGCCCGCCTGAACCGCCCGACGAGCCCGCCGCCCGCACCGCTCGCACTGCCCGCCCCGCCGCACCCGCATCCGCCCGCACGCCCGCACCGCCCTGGCACTGCCTCGCCCGCCCGCAAGAAACGCACGCACGCGCGCTCCGCACGCCCGCACTCGCCCCGCAACGCCGCACGCCCGCAACGCCGCACCGCCTCGCACCGCCGCAATACGAGCCGCACGCCCGGCGCGCCGACCGCCCCCGCATACCGCCGACGCGCCCGCTACCGCCGCAACCGCCGCGCACCCCGCGCCGCACGCCCGCCGCCCCACGGCGCCCCGCAAACGCCGCACCGCCCGCACCGCCGCGCAGCCGCCCGGACCGACCGCACCGCCGCGCATCCGCCGCACCGCGCGCGCAGCGCCCCGGCAAAGGCCCGCACCGCCCGGCACGCCCCGACCACGCCCGATCGCCCCGACGCCGCGCAACGCCGCACGCCCGACCGCCGCACCGCGCGCCCGCAGCAGCGCCCCATTTAACAGGGCCGGGCCTGCACCGCCGCGCGCACCAGCCGCACCGCCCGCACCGCACCGCCCGCAACCGCCCCGCATCCGCCGCAACCGCCGCACCGCCCGCGACGCCCGCACCGCCGCACGCGCTCACCCGGCACGCGCCCGCCCGCCCGCACCGCCGCGCGCCGCCCGCCGCCCGCACGACCCCGCAACCGCCGCACCGCACGCGCCCCGACGACGCCCGCCCCGCCACGCCCCGCCCGCCGCTGCGGCTCCAGCGGTCTTCGTGGCGGAGACGCGATTGCAGGATTACGCAGGAGCACGACGGGGTTGGCTGGCAGGGGGAGACTGAACCACGAGACAATGGAAAAATGACGTATCCTTCGTCTTCCGATGTCTCCCTATGTCTACTTTTTTTCTGCCCTCTTCTTCCTTTGCCCCTTCTTTCTTTTGCCCCTTCTTTCTTTTCTACCCCTTCTGCTTTCTTTTGCCCCTTCTTTCTTTTCTTCCTATTCTTCATTTTCCCCGTTCTTCCTTTTCACCCTTCTTTCTTTTCCCTCCCTCTTTTTCCTTTGCCCCTCTCTTCCGCCACTGTCACCCTCATCTTGCCGTCCCGTTTTCTTTCGTCTACCTCTTCTCCCTCGCTACATTCCTGTTACCTTCTTTCTCTTCCTCCTCTTAAAATTTCCTTTTCATCTTTCTATTCTTATTTCTCTTTTCTCTCTTCTGTCTCATCATTCTTTTGTTCACATTCTTTTCTGTCATATCTTTATCGTCGTCCACGTCTCTTTCATCAATTTTTATGTCATCATCGTTCACCTCTTTTTCGTTTCCATCAAATTTATCGTTCTCCTCTTCTTCTCCTGCCTACCCTCCTCCTCTTT